TTAATCAAGGAAATAATTATCTTTAAAAAAATCAACCCTGGGCACTAATCAATCGGTAAATTTTTAACTTTACGCCGCGGTGCGACTGGAAGTGCGCCGTTGTTGAACCGCGTAAAGTTTCCAGAGTGCCTTATCACGAGGCGCTTGTCTTTCGCCGATCCCTCCCTACTCGTGTGAAGCCGACGCGTGACTCATTTCCTCTTGGCGCATTATCAGGTCCGAATTCACTAATTACTCAGACCGAGGGGGAGGCGAGCAACTGCACTTAGCGGCAATACTCCGATCCTTTGGCTGAAGAACGCTTGCTCACAACCCCTGGTCGAGCTCAGAGACAGGTGCAGGTCCAGGGAGGAGGGACACGTACATGGACCGCATGGGGTAGGCAATATGCACAACATTCCAACTGACACGTCCCTCGTTTTCACGCATGACGGGGACCCCCCCCCCCCCTTTTTCTTTAGTCTGCGCATCGCCTCTCCCTCCCCCAGGCCCAGGTGGGCCCAGGCGTGTAGCCACCCCCGCACCGGATGACTTCGAGTGAGCAGAAGTAAGACTCGTCACGCGACCCGTTTGTTGCCACAGAGGTCTCATTCGTGGACGATGTGTTCGACTTCACGGACTCGGAGGACGCGGACGCGCCCTTCCCGCCCACCTACATGGTCGTCCGGTTCGCGTCCAGCCTGCAGCCGCGCGCCATCGCCTGGCTGGTGGACAAGGTGCGCGGCCCACGCTCGCACGGCGGCGCCGAGCTCCTGGTGCGGCGGCAGCACACCGAGCCCGGCGAGGTGAGTCAGGCGAGCGACAACCCTCGTAGGAGGACGGAAGGGTGTTCATTTGGACGCGCCGCGAGCCACGCGAGTACGCGAGTATGCAGTCGCGCAACACTCCGGCGCGTTCAAAGAAGGGCGGCACCGGCACATAGCGTGTCAGGTCTACGACACTACAGTGATCCGGGTTTCCGACCCTATGGGGCATGGCGCCTTACGGGTAGAGCAAGTAGGCAAACCCGCATTCTGTTGTGTCGGAGCCCTGACACTCGGTATGGTGGTAGGCCGGAAAGCAGGGCATTTAGGACGGTGGTCTTTCGTTGCTCCCCAGGGCGTGATCCTGCACGTGTCGGCGTCGTGCCGCAAGCTGCTGGAGCTGGCCGAGGACATGGAGCTCAAGAAGCGCGACCAGGCGGGGCTCATGCGCGAGTTCCTGTTCGCCCACCTGCGGGACTTTGTCGGCGAGAAGGGCAGCCGCGAGGACCTGCTGACGACGGCGGAGCGCCAGCTCATCGTGCGCCACGAGCTGGACAACATCCGCGCCCTGAGCGAGGACCCCAGCATCCCCGGCTACCCCAACTTCCGCATGTACGAGGGGCAGTCTATCGGTGAGGCCCGCCCGGCTCTGGGCGTTGATCGCGCTTTGTACGGTATGAACCGCCTCTCTATCGTGTCCGTCTTCTTCGTCTCGTGCAGTTCAGGTCATGATGCACCGAGCGCTGATCACCGCAATGTACCCCCTGCACGACGAGGAGTCGCTCAAACGCCTGTCGACGAAGTGGTACTACTCGAAGGTGCAGCCGATCGGTGAGTATGGCTCCACACGCACGTTCTATTCTCTGCCGGCCCAGAGCACCTTGGCCGGGGAAGGTGTCTGGCATGGTTAGGCGACTCGTTGGGCAGCGGGACATTAGTGGTGGACGGCAGCCACCAGGGGGAAGGACCAGCCAAGCCCAGCAGACTCTCAGGCTGTGCGAGAGAGACAGAGAGAAGGACGGGCATGCGAGTGTGAGAGAGTGAGGCAGCGGGAGAGGCTGACCAACATCGTCTGCCTCGCACTCAATCGTTGTTAGTTGTTAGTTATCTTGCCTTCGCGTCTGATGCCATGCCAAACCCTGCACCCTCACCTATATTTTATTCTGCCCCGCAGAGGACATTCGCTTGTACTTCGGTGAGGCGGTGGCGCTGTACTTCAAGTTCCTGGACTTCTACACCATCAAGCTACTCCTGCCGCTGGCCATCGTCGGCGTGCTCCAGATGGTGCTGTCGACCTACGAGACGCTGCCCTTCTTCTGCATCTGCAACGTTATCGCCGTCACCGTCTTCCTGGAGGTGCATTAAAGTACACACTCAACAGTTTCCAAAACAAATGAGATTTATGGCCGTTCAGAAACCACGAGGACAATGACCGGGGGGGG